AGGTCAGAGTAGTGATCTATCTATCTACCTATTATTATAATTACAATAATTATTATTATAATTATTATTATCATTATTATTATTATTATTATTATTATTATTATTATTATTATTATTAAAGTGATGAATAATTTTTTCATTGCCAAGTTGAGCAGAATCTACTATAAATTTCAAACGATTGGGCATAATGTCACTTAAATCGTTAGGCAAAAGAAAATGGTCAATGTATGAATTTATCGATTATTAGGAGAAAAAAGTAAAGATGTACATGTTAATTAAAATTCGGAAGAATTTTATTAATTATGTGAGTTTAACTGATTAATACCCTAATATTAGACATGTTTGGATGTAAGCACAAAGTTATACTTTTTATTAGATGGATTTGATAGTAAATCGTACTACATGTACTTGCTTTATCTATAGAACATGAAAAATGGTAGCTTTTGTATTAGTATTTTCTCAAGTCCCCTTTGTGCGCAAGCGCGTTTGTGTGTGTGTGGGAGTGGGGGGGGGGGGTAGTTGGGGAAAAAGGTTTTTAACCCTTGCCGCCGTAATAGAATTATATGAGCAATTAACCAACGAGATAATTTCGTCAATCGATAGTCAGTCCTTGGCAGTACACATGTGTAATCTGCCTTGTGCCCTGTTTTAATATCTTAATTAACATAAATTATTCAAATGTCAATAATGTTAGTTATTTTATTATCAATCAACGGTTGTTTAGATTAGTAATAAAAATTGTGGGGTTATGTCCACTCTATCAAATCAAAGACGTGGGGTTTTGTCCACTCTATAAAATATTGAGGTGTGAGGGTTTGACGTGTGGGGTTTTTGTCCGTCTTCCGGTACTGCTATGTGTTATTTCTTCCCGTGACAAATTTTTCAGAGTCTTTCTTATTTCGGTCTCAAAAATGACTTCTTTTTTATAAAACAATTATACAAATTCTTCAAAAAAAGTTTTAAAAAAGATAAACACGAGTCAAATTGAAAGAGTTTATTTTTTCTTAACATATCACATGTTTGTTTAAAATACTGAAGATTGAAGATTCTTTTGAAACAAAATCTTACTTGATCTCATAAGGTCACAATGATCAAGTACAGATAGTTCATTTTGAAGATAAGACACGCGCTAACTGTTGAAATACACTTAACTTGTCGTGAGCTTACACTTTATTTTTAAATACCAAATAGTGACAAATCAACAAAATAAGACTCATGCTAAATTTTGTATTTTCTAATGATTAAAAAAAGTTATTATTAGGAAATGAACAGTCTTAACTACAAAAAGTACGTTAAAGCAACGCGTAATTTAAGTAAAATTTGGAACGCAAACACGAATGACGTAAAGATAACCATTAAGATTGCTTAATCAAAGAAAATGGCTATTTGTGTATTGTTTGGTGCCCTACTAGGGTCCTGTGTGTTGGAATTTTGTCGGTGCTGCATTCTGAGAACATGGCTTTGTCTAGTTAATCTTTGTGCTCATATTTTGTTAGATATTTTATGCCCTTTTGTGCGCTGATCAGATCGTATAATCGGACAAAATCTATCAAAATCATTGAAGTCTCCAATAGATTATATTCACTAAATTAGTTTAAACGATACAACAAATCCATTTCTAGTCCATATGGAGTGGTCTTAATTTTACATCGCTTATAACATTAATATAAAATTGGCTTATTTTGTTGTTGTTGTTGTTGTTGTTGTTGTTGTTGTTGTTGATGATGATGGTGAATCTGAGAGAAAATACATTAAGACAACCACAATAAGTAATTATAACAGATAATAGCAAGTACAAGTTTAACGTTTATTTAGCAAAAGCATTTGCCATTGGTCATTAACAATGTGTCATTATGGCAAAGACATTACTTATCAAATTTCAGTTAATTAAATATGAAAAAGATTTTTGACTGTCATATTTAATAATTATTTGCATACTGTAATGATATGCTAACATTTAAGAAATGTTGTCCCCAAGCAATACTTAATATTAAAACAAGTCACTGTTAAAGTTTTTTTTTTATTTAACGTATGCGTCATGAAACAGTTTAAACAAGAAGAGATAAAATGATCACATGGTACACATGAAATTATTTATAAAAGTAACAAGGAGATCGTACATAAAGAGTTTGTACATATAACACAGTTCAAACTGTAAGGAAATATTTTTTGTGTGAACTTCATGTAGAAGATATAAAGTTTTAAACACTTTTAACATTGTCGATGTAAAGCTTATAAATTAAGAAAGTATTTAATATATTGTGAACACAATAGCGTTAACGTCGTGACATGTATGTAATAAGGGTTTTTAAAATTTAATTGAAAGACCCTGATGTAATGTACGTGGTTGTTTTGCATTCATTTTTAGTGGACGTTTGAAATGACGATTTTCATTGGATAATCGAGACGTTTATTCACAGCACATTACATATAATTAAACAATGCAAATAACCGTTTATTTCAAAGTTCATAAAATATTTGCATGCTTCGGCTTTAAATGTTTTTGTTGAACTTTGTACTAAGCATCTTGAACTAAGCATCTTGAGCTTACTATTATTCTGGGAAATAAAGATATCCCATGAAAATCGAAACTAAGTAGCTTAAAATCACAGAGTCGATTTTATAGGGATAATGGAAAGTGGAATATGTTCTCACGCCCAATAGCACCGTTTTAAAGCACTATTTATTCTATGCATATGAAGTATTGAAAATAATGATTCCGAAAATCTAAGAACTATAAAGCTTGCAATCGTTTTAACTAATGGACCCATTTCTTGTTGATAAAATGTTGATGCATTGGTTGTTGTTTCGTCGAACGTTGTTTTTTCCTCGTTTGTCTTTATTGTTGGTTTTCTCTTTAGGCACATTTTGATCATGTCGAATGAGTCTTTTATCTCGGCTTGAACTCCTACAATATATTTTATTTCGTATTATGTAATGTATCACCACTGAAATATGTTTCCTATGTGTTCTTTTGTTAAGTCCTCATAGTGAATCCTTTTTTTTAAATGTTTGGAGAGGCCAATCCTCTGTGAAGAAGAGTTGAATAACAATATATGAACCAGTCACCGCAGTAGTTAACCATTAATGTAAATGATTGTGTGTATGTGGAATAAGTTGCTGGGGAATTATTGGCTTTCAGCAAAAACATTTTTAATTGACCATTTACATTATATAATTATGGCAAGGCAAAGACAATACTTATTTAGTTACTGAAACACTTCAGCAGAAACAATATTTGACCATGTTTATCTATTTAGTATACACCAAACTTGTATGATAATGAATATGTACTAGATTTAAGCCTGACATTTCCTCACTTATTTAATCAAGGCATACATAACGTCATGCATTATGGTTATTATACATCTACCAATACCATCTACCATCACATTTTGAAAATGATCAACAACTTGGCAAGTGAACAATTGAAAAAGGTTTATCGCAGTGACTTCCCTTACGCGGGTGAATTACTTATTTATCTCGTGACAATTAATTTGAAGCCATGTCATTCTTGATTGCTTTGTGTACGATGACTGGCGATAATCATTATTTGATGAAGCTAAAACGGTAGATAACGCATTTGTTCAAATGTCTTTGATTTAAACATATTTTATTGCCAAAAATAAGACATATACATACATGTAGACAGTTACAATACAATGACATGACATATTTGGCAAAAGGGTTGACCCACAAGTTCTCTCAACATAAGCAACGGGTCTTCCCTGAAAATGTCAAATGTCTTAAATATTACTGTTCACTAAAACTGAAATGATACGTTATTGTGCCAAAACCTGTTTTAACATTCTGCAACGTTGTCTTTTATTTTCTTGTTAATAATGCCATTATAATTGCTTTAAACATGATAATGTATTTTTACCTAGGTTACCTTACTTTTAATATTTTGTTTATTTACATTGTAATTTAACTATTTAATTTTAGTCTAACTGTAATAGGTCTTAAATATGTTTATCATTGATATAATAATGTCTCATGAAATTCTGAAAACTATCTAATTTAAGTCTAACTGTAATATGTCTTGAATATGTTTATCATTGATATAATAATGTCTCTTGAAATTCTTAAATAGAATTTTCGTATGCAGATTTTATGTGAATATTGTTATGAAATTTGAAACTAATCTTTTACTAGAAGAGTATTCTTTTAGGATGGTAAATCTGGACAATATTTCTAAGCTGGTTAAAATGTTTATGTTAACTTTTACTCATTTTTGTTGTAAAACAATTGAGTCATCAACAGTCCAGAATATTGGCAGTGACAGCTCAGTTATTTTTAGATTATGATATACCTCATCCAAATTTGGAAAGGTCGCGCAGACAAAGGTCGCGCAAAAGGAAAGGTCGCGCAAAAGGAAAGGTCGCGCAGAATCACAACTAATACTGCAGCTGCTGCTGATTATGATGATGATAATGCTGATGATGCTGATGATTATAATATTGATGATGATGATGCTGGTGAAGATGATGATGATGACAATGATGGTGGTGGTTGTGATGATGATGCTGATGATGATGATAATGATGATTATGATGATTAAAATGACGATGATGATGCTGGTGATGATGATGATGATAATGCTGATGATGCTGATGATTATAATGATGATGATGATGATGATGCTGGTGGTGATGATGATGATGATGATGATGATGATGATAATGATGGTGGTGGTGGTAATGATGATGATGCTGATGATGATGATGATGATGATTTGTTACATACATCTCATTTAAACTTTTGCTGCCCTGACTGTATTTTTACAAGATATAATTTTGATAGAGAAAATGATTTTTCACTGACATTCCACATTTTTTCTTCTCTCTCATGTGAAAAAAAAAAACAAATGACATTGAGGTTACTTCCCTTCTTTGTGTATTCGTACGAGAGAAATTCCATTAGGAAATGGTTTTCGCCTGATTGATTCGCGTGTATTAACAAATGTTTTTTTTAAGTTTATTACTATGAGATTTTTTTCTCACATATTTCGTATTTATAATTCTTCTCTCATGTGAGCACTGTCTTATGAGTTTAAAAATCCCTTTTAATAAAGTTCTTTATCAAATAATTTAAAAGTTTAATTCCTCTCTCCTGTGTGCACTTCCATATGATATCTAAGAGTACCCTTACGAGCAAATGCTTTGTCACATATTTCGCATTTAAAGTTCTTTTCTCCTGTGTGCACAACCATATGAGTTTTAAGAGTTTTTTTATTAGCATATGCTTTGTCACATATTTTGCTTTCATAATTATACGCTCCTAAATGTACTACTTTTATATGAGATTTAAGAGTACCCTTTAGAGCAAATGCTCTGTCACATAATTCACATTTAAATTTCTTCTCCCCCGTGTGCACAACCATATGATATCTAAGATTACTTTTGCGAGCAAATGCTTTGTCACATATTTCACATTTATAATTCTTCTCTCCTATGTGCACTGTCATATGACTTTTAAGTTTACCTTTATCTGCAAATGCTTTGTCACATATTTCGCATTTATATCTCTTCTCTCCTAAATGTACTTCTATATGAGTTTTTAAAGTAACTTTATGAGCAAATTCTTTGTCACATATTCCGCATTTATAATTCTTCTCTCCTGTGTGCACTGTCATATGACTTTTAAGTTTACCTTTATCTGCAAATGCTTTGTCACATATTCCACATTTATAATTCTTCTGTTTCTTCTGTCCTAAATGTATTTCTATATGTGATTTAAGAATATATTTCTGAGCAAATGCTTCGTCACATATTTCACATTTAAATTTTATCTCTCCTGTGTGCACTGTAATATGTGTTTTCAGATTGCTATTGTGAGCAAAGGCTTTGTCACATATTTCACATTTATAATTCTTCTCTCCAGTGTGTACTGCCATATGTGATTTCAGATTGCCAATGCGAGCAAATGCTTTGTCACATATTCCACATTTATAATTCTTCTCTCCTGTGTGCACTGTCATATGTGTTTTCAGATTGCTATTGTGAGCAAATGCTTTGTCACATATTTCACATTTATAATTCTTCTCTCCAGTGTGTACTGCCATATGTGATTTCAGATGGCCATTGCGAGCAAATGCTTTGTCACATATTTCACATTTATAATTCTTCTCTCCTGTGTGCACTGTCATGTGAGTTTTTAGAGTGCCTTTATGAGAAAAGGCTTTGTCACATATTTCACATTTATTTTTTACCCCTCCTATGTGACTAATCATGTGAGTTCTAAAAGCACTTTTATCTTCAAATGCTTTGTCACATTGCTCGCATTTATAATTCTTCTCTCCTGTGTGTATTGCCATATGCCTTTTTAGTAAATTGTTTTGTGAGAACAGTTCATAACAAATATCGCATTGAATTATTTTACCACCAGTATGCATTTTCGTGTGCCTAATTAAGTAAGTTCTGTTTGCAGTTTTGTGTTCTCAGACATCACATTTTGATAACTGCTTTTGTTCTATACTGCTGGTCATGTTTCTGTTTGACAATACAGTTCTTGAATCCTGTAAGATAAACAAGTAAATTTTTATCCCCTTTGTATGTCCAGTATTGTTACTGAAATTTTAAGTATGGTCCCAGCTTTCAATTATTGTAACGTAAATGTCAAAACTAGCTCCATATTTCGAATGATGATTATTATACTGATGACATTCCTATTTTATATAAAGGATTATCGGAGAATTGTACTATAAATTTGTCTGTTAAAATACACTACATTGTGATAAAGTACACAGAATTAAAGACTGTTAAGTGAAGAAATTAAGAATTTTTTCTTTGGAGAAATAGTAAAATTTAAATATCAATGAAAGAATAATTTACAAACGTCATTACAAATATATTTTATAAACAATATACACATGATATAACCTTGTTACTTTTCTAATTTTCCCATACGTAGTACACAGGGCCGAAGTTTGGTTGTAAAACAGATGAGATAAATAATAATATATTATATATATTTACCGTGTTCATATGATGCAACTATTTTAATGTAATGTCAAAGTTCTTAGTCGCGTTTTATAGAACACGCAGTTACTGAAACAAAGGGACATGTGAAAATTCTTACCGGATATATGCAATTACATTAATTTGTTAATTCCTGACAATTTATTTTGACACATGGAAGTATTCTATTCATGAGCTCGATATGCCCTATAACCTATCTCAATTAAATTAACAAATTAGTGCATTACAATAAGAAGAACACATGTCAATGCTTATGATTAGGTCTATTGTTTACTTAAATAAAAGGTCAGAGTAGTGATCTAGCTATCTACCTATTATTATAATTATAACCATTATTATTATGATTACTATTATTATCATCATCATCATCATTATTATTATTATTATTATTATTATTATTATTATTATTATTATTATTATTATTATTATTATTATTATTATTATTATTATTATTATTATTATATTATCATTATTATTATTATTACATTATTAAAGTGATGAATAATTTTTTTCATTGTCAAGTTGAGCAGAATCTACTATAAATTTCAAACGATTGGGCATAATGTCACTTAAATCGTTAGGCAAAAGTAAATGAGAAAAAAGATCTACATGTTAATTAAAATTCGGAAGAATTTTACTAATTATATGAGTTTAACTGATTAATACCCTAATATTAGACATGTTTAATATAGGCACACATGTGAAATCTGCCTTGTGCCCGGCTCTTAATATCTTAATTAACATAAATTATTTAAAATGGCAATAATGTTAGTTATTTTATTATCAATCAACGGTTTTTTAGATTAGTAATAAAGATTGTGGGGTTATGTCCACTCTATAAAATCAAAGACGTAGGGTTTTGTCCACTCTATAAAATTTTGAGGTGTGAGGTTTTGACGTGTGGGGTTTTGTCCGTCTTCCGGTACTGCTATGTGTTATTTCTTCCCGTGACAAATTTTTCAGAGTCTTTCTTATTTCGGTCTCAAAAATGACTTCTTTTTTATAAAACAATTATACAAATTCTTCAAAAAAAGTTTTAAAAAAGATAAACACGAGTCAAATTGAAAGAGTTTATTTTTTCTTAACATATCACATGTTTGTTTAAAATACTGAAGATTGAACAAAATCTTACTTAATCTCATAAGGTCACAATGATCAAGTACAGATAGTTCATTTTGAAGATAAGACACGCGCTAACTGTTGAAATACACTTAACTTGTCGTGAGCTTACACTTTATTTTTAAATACCAAATAGTGACAAATCAACAAAATAAGACTCATGCTAAATTTTGTATTTTCTAATGATTAAAAAAAGTTATTATAAGGGAATGAACAGTCTTAACTACAAAAGTACGTTAAAGCAACGCGTAATTTAAGTAAAATTTGGAACGCAAACACGAATGACGTAACTTTAGATAACCAATAAGATTGCTTAATAAAGAAAATGGGTATTTGTGTATTGTTTGGTGCCCTACTGGGGTCCTGTGTGTTGGAATTTTGTCGGGTGCTGCATTCTGAGAACATTGCTTTGTCTAGGTAATCTTTGTGCTCATATTTTGTTAGATATTTTATGCCCTATTGTGCGCTGATCAGATCGTATCATCGGACAAAATCTATCAAAATCATTGAAGTCTCCAATAGATTATATTCACTAAATTAGGTCAAACGATACAACAAATCCATTTCTAGTCCATATGAAGTGGTCTTAATTTTACATCGCTTATGCCCTATAAAGAATGCTTTTGTTTTTGTAGTTGTTGCTGTTGTTGTTGTTGTTGTTGTTGTTGTTGTTGTTGAATCTGACAGAAAATACATTAAGAAACATAATAGGAAATTATAACAGATAATATTAAGTACAAGTTTAACCCTTTCACTGCCATAGGGACGGCTTAAGCCGTCCCTGTTATTTTCGGCGTATTTGCCATATGGACGGCTTTAGCCGTTTCTATAAAAATAATAGTTATAATAATAAATTAATAATAATAATAAATATAAAGAAAATTATACCATCGACAATGATTATTATTATACTAACAGATTTGGAAACATATATAATTATTATAATACTAATAACAAATAATAATAATTATATTAATTAAATAATATAGTAATTTCTTAGAAAAATCCTCTGGAAATAGGTGAACAATAAAACAATAACCCTCTGGCAGGGAAAGGGTTAATGTTTATTTAGCAAAAGCATTTGCCATTGGCCATTTACAATGTGTCATTATGGCAAAGACATTACTTATCAAATTTCCTGAAACAGTTAATTAAACATGAAAAAGGTTTTTATGGTGGCATATTTCTGCCACCAGATAACCTGATAACTTACTTGTTAATTAAAAGGTTAACTTGTTACGTAACTAGTTAACCTGATAACTTACTAGTGAATTAAGAGGTTAACTAGTTACGTAACTAGTTAACCTGATAACTAACTAGTTAATTAAAAGATTTACTAGTTACGTAACTAGTTAACCTGATAACTAACTAGTTAATTAAAAGATTAACTAGTTACGTAACTAGTTAACCCCTTAATTAACTAGTTAGTTATATGGTTATCTGATGGCAGAAATATGCCACCATAGTTTTTGACTGTAATATTTAATAAGTATTTGCATACTGCAATGATAAGCTAACATTTAGAAATGTTGTCCCCAAGCAATACTTAATATTAAAACAAGTCACTGTTAAAGTTTTTTTTTTATTTAACGTATGCGTCATGAAACAGTTTAAACAAGAAGAGATAAAATGATCACATGGTACACATGAAATTATTTATAAAAGTAACAAGGAGATCGTACATAAAGAGTTTGTACATATAACACAGTTCAAACTGTAAGGAAATATTTTTTGTGTGAACTTCATGTAGAAGATATAAAGTTTTAAACACTTTTAACATTGTCGATGTAAAACTTATAAATTAAGAAAGTATTTAATATATTGTGAACACAATAGCGTTAACGTCGTGACATGTATGTAATAAGGGTTTTTAAAATTTAATTGAAAGACCCTGATGTAATGTACGTGGTTGTTTTGCATTCATTTTAGTGGACGTTTGAAATGACGATTTTCATTGGATAATCGAGACGTTTATTCACAGCACATTACATATAATTAAACAATGCAAATACCGTTTATTTCAAAGTTCATAAAATATTTGCATGCTTCGGCTTTAAAAGTTTTTGTTGAACTTTGTACTAAGCATCTTGAACTAAGCATCGGCGCTTACTATTATTCTGGGAAATAAAGATATCCCATGAAATCGAAATTAAGTAGCTTAAAATCACAGAGTCGATTTTATAGGGGATAATGGAAAGTGGAATATGTCTCACGCCCAATAGCACCGTTTTAAGCACTATTTATTCCTATGCATATGAAGTATTGAAAATAATGATTCCGAAAATCTAAGAACTATAAAGCTTGCAATCGTTTTAACTAATGGACCCATTTCTTGTTGATAAAATGTTGATGCATTGGTTGTTGTTTCGTCGAACGTTGTTTTTCCTCGTTGTCTTTATTGTTGGTTTTCTCTTTAGGCACATTTTGATCATGTCGAATGAGTCTTTTATCTCGGCTTGAACTCCTACAATATATTTTATTTCGTATTATGTAATGTATCACCACTGAAATATGTTCCTATGTTCTTTTTGTTAAGTCCTCATAGTGAATCCTTTTTTTTAAATGTTTGGAGAGGCCAATCCTCTGTGAAGAAGAGTTGAATACAATATATGAACCAGTCACCGCAGTAGTTTAACCATTAATGTAAATGATTGTGTGTATGTGAAATAAGTTGCTGAGGAATTATTGGCTTTCAGCAAAAACATTTCTCATTGACCATTTACAGTATATAATTATGGCAAGGCAAAGACAATACTTATTTAGTTACTGAAACACTTCAGCAGAAACAATATTTGACCATGTTTATCTATTTAGTATACACCAAACTTGTATGATAATGAATATGTAACAGATTTAAGCCTGGCATTTCCTTACTAATTAAATCAAAGCATACATACAGTCATGCATTATGGTTATTATACATCTACCAATACTATCTACCATCGCATTCAAAAATGATCGACAACTTGGCAAGTGAACAATTGAAAAAGGTTTATCGCAGTGACTTCCCTTACGCGGGTGAATTACTTATTTATCTCGTGACAGTTGATTTGAAGCAATTGCTACGAAAAGTATGTGTTTAAAAAAACTATTACCATCTGTATTTTAGAATTCCAATCCATGTTACAATGCTGCACAGCATTAGTATCGAACCAAGCACGGCTCCGATGATGATATGCATTTTTGTAGTGTCTTTACCTGCTTTCAGAAAGAAAGAAAAAACAGTAACAAGTAAATATTTGTATCATAAAGTTTTAATTAGCCTACATCCGCGCAGTCTGATCGGGATCCATGCTGTTCGCTATCAGTTTCTCTACTTGTAATAGGGTTTGTAAGTGAACAGCATGGATCCTGATCAGACTGCGCGGATGCGCAGGCTGGTCTGGATCCATGCTGGTCGCAAACACATTACGTTGGTTTTGTCGTGACACGGCTCATATTACATTGACATTTAACCATGACATACATACTACAACTTCACCTCATGAGTAAAAACATCCGTGGCTGTATGGTAAATGTTGCTTACTTCTAACAACTTGCCAGTCACCGCTGTAGGATCGAATCCCGTCAGAAACTTTGAATTCTTTCATGTAAGGAAGCTCTAAAAGTTCAGCATTAGCTAATTTACTGATAAAAACATGTAAATGTTTCAATAAATACATGTTAACCATTACTTTTATAGTAATACGACTGTGATTTCAATGATTTAAAAATCACTCGTAAATATATTTCCTATACTCCATAATGGTCAGTCTGCGGTTGACCCTAAAGGTCGCAGGTTTGAACCATGCCATACCACTAATAATTATAATAATAGTCTTTGAGATAAACCTTAAATCTTAGTACTTTATACTGGACGTATAGAAGTACCAGGAGGGCAATTAATGTACCCATAAAACGTCTTACCCTACTGGGTACAGTCAAAATATGAGCACGCGACAGTAAATACACTAAAAGAGTATAAATCTATAACAAAAATTTTATAGTGTGTGCAAAATGATATCCTTAGTTGTAAAAAAAGAATATTTTCATTTTACCTGACGCACTATTTTGCTTTATTGAACATGAAAATGATCCGGGATTATTTTCACATACATATGTTGAATTGCATGGATTATTTTCGCATTCATTGATATCATTTTCACAATTAGTTCCTTGCCAACCGTTTGGGCATGCGCATTTATATGACGCATGCGCATTCACGCATGTTGAGGAATGTTCGCACAGGTTTCTCGTGCACTCGTCAATATCAGTATCACACTTTGACCCTGTCAATCCTGATAAACAACTGCACAGATAGGAACCAGGCGTATTTGTACACAGCATATTATTCGAGCATGGATTTTGCGTGCATTCGTCGATGTCAACAGAACAATTCCGGCTACTCCATCCGGGTGCACATAAACAGCGAAGTCCTCTCCCTCGCTTTTTGCACACTTCTGTAGGTCGACACATTGAACTAAAGTAACAAATAATATGAAGTTGTAAACATCTTCAAATGGAAACAGCTTGTATTGAAAGTAACATAGGAGGACCTTGCAAAATATCAAATAATTAGTATAGTACTGTGTATGGAATTTCTGTAAATATTCATCAGAACTTACTTTGTTCAATGACAGAGAATACATGTTATAAATAGAAGAATAGACTTACTTGTTTAGACACTGATCTTGACACCATTCCCCCATCCATCCAGGCGTGCAATCTCGAACAGTTGTAGAATTGTCTTTTATATCGCAGTGAATGTTGCCAAACCATCCGTGTAGACAGCTGCATCTAAAAAAATATTATAGGCATTGATGCACACGAGAAATCAGTCAAAAAATGTAAAAAAAAAAAAAAGAGATATGCATGGTGTGCTTTGTAGGAATATAGATTGCATGACGACTTTAAACCAATGGCTTATCACATTTGCCAGTTTTATATTTAATAAACTACTTTTATTGCCATTTTTAGAATGGTCATGTAATCGGCATGCATGTATTTCTAATTAATGCACTTATTACTTCCAAGGTAAAATCTTTATATATAATTATTATATTAGTAAAGTATAATTATAAATATTGTAAAAGTATTATTATTTTGGTTTAAGTGTTTATTATAACTTCGATCCATATATCTAGAAGTAGTGTAAATTGAATCAATTCAATAAGTAGTGCTGACTTTTTTCGGCCGTAAGCTGTGTGATTTCACCTTAACTTCCTTTGAAATAAGATTGAAAGAAGTGAATAAAGACAGGATTTTCATAGGTCGATTTGAAATTTTAAACCGTAAACTGGAAATCTCATTGGTCAATCTAATATCTTTCAAAGTTAATACTTTACCTATAGCTTCCAATTGTGTTACTACAATTACCACGATGCATACAAGGGTTTCCAAGGCTGCATTCATCAAAATCATCGTTACATGTGGCACCCTAAAAACAGATTATAAGCATAGTTTTTCACCGTTTTGAGATACAGCTTCATAATTTTAACATTTTATCCCTAGAATTGCACTTCTTATAGTTGTATTAATAAATGATTGTCAATTTGAATTCTGCTACAGCTGCTTTTATTATTATTCTTATTATTATCGTCATTTATTATTATCGTTATTATAGCTATTATGTTGTTGTTGCTGATGTTGTTGTTGTTGTTGTTGTTGTTGTTGCTGCTGCTGCTGCTGCTTTGTTGTTGTTTATGGTGGTGGTGGTGGTGGTGGTATGCTTTTTATTGGGTTTTTTTTTATTATTATTATTTATTTATCATATTTATCATTTTTCTACCATGACCTTGCGAGATAAAACTACGTGCAGAACATGTATAGAGTTTATTAAATATGTGCTCCTTAAATTGCAAAATTGTGTCGCCGAAAGAATTTTAAGGTGGAATCTAATTTCCAGTTTGGCATCGATAACGCATGTTTGATACACCTTCACAAACATAATAAACGTTTTGACACTTGCTTAATCATGCCTGTCTAGATATAATAATGCATATTTTAAAGAAAAAAACCTATAAAAAGCAATGGAAAAAAATGCATGACACTGTTTGAAATAAGCAATAAAAGGAAATGTTATATATACATTGTTCACCAGTTTTTTGTATAAAGTTATCTTTAAATTAAAACTGAAGATAACAATGTTACAAATTTCACATGAATGCTTAAATATTCCCGGGCATTAGATTACCTTTATATCATCACGAAACTTTAAGGTCAAGGTGATGCTTTGTGACCGAAATCAACTTGTCCACGTTGTAATAATTCTAAAAATATTTTCTCCAGAGTACACAAAAAAAAAGCTGTAGTTAAAACAATTAATGCAACCTTCAAACAAGTGGTAACCATCTTTGACGCCAATTTGGATTTATATTCAACAAACAATACTGAATATTTTTATACATGTATCTGACAACATTTGCTTTACTTCAATTTGTGAACGCCCAATGCTCTTTTAACCCTGAAGTTTTTTTGTTGTTGACGGGACGGAAAATATTTTTTTTGAGATTAATGTTCAATTTGATAAAGGTCTAGACTAATAACTTGTGTGCAAAATTTAAGATGATTGTTCACTACGTTTTTTTGTCTCCAGAAAAGTTACAAGTACTCAAATCGTGAAAAAAATGACCCAAAACTGAAAAGAGTTCCAAACGCTATTCACTTAAATCGGGCTTAGAAAAGCACAAAAATACCATTTTCAATTAATTTACTGGTTATTTTTGAATTATTCTCTGCATTTTTAAGTGTCCCAGCTGATCTATGTCAAACATTCAAATTTTATGTTTTTAGGCGTTTGGACCTCAATGGAGCTCCTTTACTGTCACCTAACTTAGACATAATATTGATAATATATATGAGCCGCGTCACGACAAAACCAACATAGTGCGTTTGCGACCAGCATGGATCAAGACCAGCCTGCGCATCCGCGCAGTCTAATCAGGATCCATGCTGTTCGCTATCAGTTTCTCTATTTGTGAAAGGGTTGGTAAGCGAACAGCATGGATCCTGATCAGATTGCGCGGATGCGCTGGCTGGTCTGGATGCATGCTGGTCGCAAACCCATTATGTTGGTTTTGTCATTGTACGGCTCAATTATGACGTTGATAAATGAGTAAATTATAATGTGGCTAACAGAATGTTAATAGGTTTACGTAAAGCATTTTGTCAAACATTATTTTTCATATAATAATTATACACATGGCACTATTTTCATGGTTTTTTGATTTATCATTTATTGTAGGCAATATACAAGATCTATAAGTATGTTTAATGTTAAGTATGTTTAGTGTTATGTTAAATAACTTAAATAGAAAATTCTATTATATCAAACAAAAAATTTACAGAAATTTGTTTTTTATGGGTTTTTCAAATTTATTTTGGTTTAAAAAATGAAAACTATTACCAAATTAAATCCATTAATAAAATGTTTTATTTTTACCATAATCTTAATTTTAGTAAATTTAATTATAAAATATAATATTATATTTATTTACTACATATCCATCTTGGCACATGCAATACTGACCCGTGTCCGTCTGGCCGGCATTTGCATTGGGGAAGGCATGATAGATTTCCCATTTGTTAAACATTAAAAGTTGGCCTATAGCAACTCCGTATACCACCTATAGTATATTCCAAGAATACAAGTAACTTTCAAAATAGTCTAGATATTTAGTTAAGGTTCATCATAAACAATTATAAACACATTAACAAACTATTATAAACACATTAACATAGATCTTAATCTAAATTGAGATTCTATTATTTTATGACAATATTATTATTATCATTATTATTATTATTATTATTAATGTTATTTTAATTATAATGTATTTTTTTCCAACCGAAAAATATCTATTGTGCGAAACCAAATGTTAATAAATGTGTTTATGTTTGGTTTATTATTGAGTACAGTTATGAATGATTTTCAACAGATTCATTTTACTTATAGAAAAAAATAGTCCTTGCATTGTATTGTATTGTATTGTATTGATCAAGATGTTATAGTTATATTTTGTCAGGTCAAGGGCTTATTAGCCTAAACCAGACCGTTGTTGTTTTGAGATAAATAATTCTTTTTCAGATAATTATAAATAGCATTTGATATAAAATGTTGCACTACTATACGTATTGTATATGATTTATAATTATAAACTCATTTATTTTCCTGTATAATGTGATATTCCCTGCTTTATATTTAAACTGCCAGTGGATCTTTTCAGTCGTACAATAATTATATTTGTAATCCCTTGTACTTAGGTCAATATTCTTCGGTTTCTCCCCGCATACTTTAATTTATCCATATACAAAACATTTAAGAACTGTTAAACGTTTTCCTAATTTTCTTTTTTCTTCTTCAAATTACCTCGAGAATAACGTGCACGAAAAATACCGGAAATAAAAAATTAATTTCATTCAGCCTCCCCATCTCACATTTTCTTTAAATGCAAGTTTTCTATGCAAAAAGAAATATCCTCCTGAAATATGTTTAAATTTATTATCCTCGGTAAAAAAATCGTTGTCTCAGACAAAAGTAAAGTCCAAAAATACACATGCTTTTATGGTAAGATATGCACGTGCATATGGAAAACATTGCTTTTATATCCCGACTTCATGTTGTAAACCCATATGTCAGCTGATACTAATACTTTTATAACTGTTAATGACTAAATAAATAAAGTATTTCATTGAATCCTTTTGAATTTACCATATGAACTGTAAATACTTATCTGCAGTGTATCTACTGGAAAAAATACAACATCATTTTAAGCTTTTAAAGTGAATGTTTTCATTTAAGTATTTGATTTATTTGATACAATTTTAAACTATTAAGGATAGAACAAACATTAATTACGTACTGATATGTCATTTCTATTTTGAACTGATGATAAATCATTTGAAAAAAAAAATGGAACTGACAGACAGACATTTAACTTGTGCTTTTTAAAAGATTTAAATGAAGTTTAAACGGACTGTTTTGAACAATTTTTGATATGACAAAGCAGGGAGTCAGGAAAAAATACATATGCAAGGTCGTACATACGAAATACTGGTAGGACCAATTAATGCATTCGTCGGTATATCTCAATGATTTTTCCAAGATTTCAACTTCATGAATTCGCGATTTCTACAAATTAAATTCATGAGGCTGCAACTGTGAAATATTAAAGCTCATGAAGTTGAAAGAGTGAACTTTAAATGCCTTAAAAAATTGGGGGCGTTAAAAAAAATTCATTGAGATGAAATCGTAAATGTGTTTCCATTTTGGAAAAAGAAAACGTTAAATTCCTGAAGTTTAAATAAAAATTCAATGAAGTTATATCGCAAATTCATAAAATTAACAAACAATGCATTTGCGAAGTTTAAATTTTAAATACGTAAATTAAAAATCATGAATTCACGAAGTTGACATGCCCCAACTGGTCTTCCGTACGTCCATTTAAAATGTTCAAGTTCTTGTTATCACTTTGCCGTCATTATACAATAACAAATGAGTTGACAATTTAAAATGACATTAAATGTTACCACAAAATTAAATGTTTTTGCAATGAAATCATAACAAGGTTAACACTGGTGTCAATTACACGACAGCTGGAGATCAAAACTGGTTGTTCTTGAGTCTTGAATCCCGACAGGGGGTTTGGAGGTAGTTATTCAAGCTAGCTTACGGGAAGTCCGTGGTACTACTCAGGTGCCCGTTCGTGTGTTGGGGATTAATACCTGAAAGGAACACCTGAGCGTCTTCCTCCACAAGAAAGTGGAACGTTCCCCATATGTCATATACTGTGTCGGTGTGACGTTTAAAACTCAAACAAACAGTGTTCTTTGGTTTCATTTGTAATAACTACTTTGATGATTTTGTCATTATAATGTATATTTGTGTAAATGGGCCCAAAGACAATGTATCATTGCTATTTGCCAAATAAATTAAAAATTAATGAAAATTGAATTGCTTATTGATCTTCTACAAGGAAGCGATCTTTTTACCATTTCTCTCATTTTTTAATTCGACATTACTATTTATTTTAAAATTAATCTACCCATAGATATGCACATAGTCATTTATCTTACTTTTTTTTTTTAAGAGCTTGGTGAACACCTTTGTCTGACGCAAGCTATGACGTCATCAGATTGCAATGTTCACTCATTAGAAAGTTATAGGATCCTCAGAAATGTTCGCCATTAGGAGTGTCGGCTCGAAGGTCACCAAAGGGCCCACTTTAGTAAGTTCAGAAATAGTAGATATTATTCGAAAACATGACTGCTGCCTCTGTCTTAATATGTAGTACATGCATATAATACAGTTCATCTTCTCTTATCTTAAGTTTCGAATTATTTCTATTTCCATGCAGCCTCGAATTAGATTCACATATGCTACATCATCTTTAATATGAACAACGGAGTTTTACAACTTGAGGGAATATGGAATTTTTACAACATTAGGAAGAATACGGATATTGTGTTACGATCATTTTGATGCAATATTGTGAGGCTAACTATTAATAAACATGTACAGATAAATGGCTTACATGCCAAAACACATTAAATATAGAAAAACTACAAATATGTTACTTGGTATCAAATCGTAATATCAAAATATTATTACGGATAAAAATGGAAATACTCGATATACTGTACGATGTTGTTATCAGAATAACTATGCATAAACATAGATATATAAAATAGCTGTACGTACCAACTAAAATGATTAAAATTGTATGATTTTTTTGGGACGAAGTCCGTCTGTTATCAGTTTGACTTCCTGTTAAAATTAGCATATATGAAGAATTTCCATTGTACATTTTAAAATTACAAACTAAAATCTGTGAATTTCATTGGTCATTCTAAAATAAAATGTAAAGGATAGTTCTTACCATTCAGAAAATAATTTTATAAGAATAATGTAAGGAATATTTTGCCACTATGAAATAAAATGTAAAGGAATGTTTCAAGGGACATCTTAAATAGAAGTTGTTCCTTACTTTGAAAAATCATTAATATTCAATATTGCTATACTTAATTGTACCATGTTACAAAATGGTATTTTTCTTAGCTACAAGAAATTATTGATCATGTCATTGTTATGGCAAGCATGTGCTAACATTTTTTTTTTTGTTTCGAAAACTTATTAATTAACATAATTTGCATGTTAAACCAGTTTTTATTTCGTCCGATTCTATCCTTTTGAAAAGATAATTCTTCTTTTCTATAGATGTAATAAATATTACAAATGTCATTGCTATACGATTAAACGTATTTGGTAAATTGCGCACCAAAGTATCCATGACCTATTTATTAATGGAAGTTAATGCCAATAAAGCCCGTTACTAGTTTTTTTGAAAGATCCTGCTGTAGCCATGTTTAATAATTTACCAAAATATTTAGATAGGTTTTATTTGATGGTACATGTAAATGCGATAATTTTACGAAAAAAAAATTGATAAAAAAAAATACAGAACTAAGTGATACCGTCGGGGTTTTCCGACGATAACTATGCATTTAATTACATTCTGACAGTCGGAGTTGTTTTGTTATTCATTTGAAGACCATCTTTAACACATGCAAAAAAATTCTTCTATTAAACGTATATGATATGTTACAGGATCTTTAAAGGACTGCTTCAATAAGATTTCAAATCCGTTTACTTATACTAATAAACCTCACCAGAAAAACAATCTCAGGACCATGCTCTTGCCATTGTGTGTTTGCAAGTTCTCTCTTATTAAAAAAAAAAGACTTATGACACTTATATTTTTGTAATCTTGTTTTGACATTTTGAGTATATTGAATTTTTATCGTAGACAGAACTTTGGTATCAACAACCAATTAAATGCTGATAAACGCATCGTTCGACTCGCCTACAACCCATGCGTCTATTATGTTTATTAACTTTCAATTTATTTTACGATCCTTCATCAATACTAGATCTACAATGACAAAGTTAAAAACCCTTCTTCATGTATTCTGAGATACACCACCATTATACAAATAGCGATATGTTTTTTTCATATATAAATCTAGTTGAACAACACGGGACGATCACACTAGGTGCGAGACTGGGGCTAAAAAATAAAAGCAGACTTCGTTAATATAACCGTTTTACATGCGGCCTCGACTATATTTACAAGATTACATAGCCCAGTGTATGATATGTTCCCCTTATCCGTGGTACATTTATTGTTCCCTAGTCAGTGACATTATGTTTCCTAGTTGGTGTACATTATGTTCTCTGTCAGTGTACGTTATGCTTCCCGTAGTCAGATATGCACATTATGTTCTCTAGTCCACGCGTACGTTATCGTTCCCTAGTCAGTGCCGTTATTTCTCTCTAGTCAATGTACTTATGTTCCCTAGTCAGTGCAACATTATGTTCTTCTAGTCAGCGTTACGTAATGTTCCCTAGTCACGTGCACATCTATGTTCTCTAGTCCAGCGTACCGTAATAAGTTCCCTAGTCAGTGCACACTTCTGTTCCCTAGATCGTCTGCATATTATGTTCTCTAGTCAGTGTACGTTATTCTCTAGTCACGCGTACGCTATGTTCCCCCTAGTAGTTTTTTTACCATGACCACATATGTTTCTAGTCAATGTACATTATGTTCCCTAGTCAGTGGTACATTATTTCCCTAGTTCAGTGTCATAATGTTCCCTATCCGGGTACATTATGTCCATCATAATCGGTGTACTTATGTTCACTTGTCAGTGTACATTATGCTACCTAGTCAGTTCCCTGAAAGTTATTTTTATTTTCAGATTTAAAAGATGGAAAGATAAAAGTTCATTTAGGTTTTTAGCGGATAAGGGTAAAAAGCGAAACAATGCTTCGTATAGCATGCCAAAGACGCTACCAAATTACAACACGTTACAATCTTGAATGATTAGGTCTTACACTGCGTCCACTTCAATACAAGGGCACCATTCTAAAATTTGCCACATACGAGATTTCCCATTTAAAGGATAAAGGTTTAAGATGTTAGGAAAGGTTGGTCCACTTTTGTTTTTTTCACAAAAATAAATTATATTCGTTTAAGTCTTTTACATTTGCTATATTGTTTGTTCCTATTGTAATTACAGATGGTGCAATAAACAAATGCTTCATCAAAATACGTTAAAATAGAGCTTTAGTATACCAGATACTTCGGAGCCACTGCAAACGGGCTTTTCATGCGTTCTCTTACGATTAAGCGCGCTTAATATTTTGGACTTTTCAAAAGGAAAGCAACTTCCGTGCGGTCACAGCTACATCTTTGACTTACAAAACAAACTAGTTGCTGAGTCTCATACCCACTTCATTGCAGTTAAGCTAATGCAACTTACCTATGATGTTTACACGCATATGTGGCCTTAAAATTTGGTGACCTAATTCCTCCAAAAATATTGTCGGTAAATTGCAATTTTGTGTGATGAAGGATTTAAAATACATAAATCTTATAATAGATATAATTTCCAAAGAGAGTAAGCAAATTCTTATTTTGACCTTTTGTACCCTTAGTTCAAACTTTAATTTGTTCGCTGGGCGCAATATGGCGGACATATGTGCTATGTTCGGCGAATTTTAGCTTTAAAATTTGTTAAATGATTTCATATCTGATTTGTTAATTGATTTAAAACAAAGATTTGGGGATGATGAATATATTTATAGTTTGGACTACTTTTGCTGTTTCATTGTTTGAGGTATAGAAAATAAGTTAGTATCAGTGACCCAGTATAAAAAACTAAGTACAAAGCGCCTTTAGTCACAAAATATACATGTACCCATTTCGTTCAAGACAATGCATGCTATTTAAATTTTGGATCGTATTAATTTCTGTATTCCAAAATGATTTAATAATTATTAATTTGAGAAAGAAATGTGCTTCTATGAATAAAATTGATGCATAATTGTTTTATTATTATTATTATTATTATTATCATGATTTTTCTTACTATCATTATTATTATTATTATAATTATTATTTCTGTTCAATTAAAAAAACAACAAATGTTTTATTATGATAAACTATACGGGATTATTTAAAAAGTCTGCTTAATTTTAAACACTGTTCAGTAAGCTATTATTATTATTATTATTACTATTATTAATTATTATAATTATTATTATTATTATTATTATTATTATTATTATTATTATATTATTATTATTATATTATATTTGCATACTCAATGACAATACTACAAAAATTTAGCTTTAAATTTGTGTCCATTACCAAAAAGCGCGATGCAAGTATAAAACAAATAAATTTGTAAATTTCTCGTGCAAAGATCCTGAGATTTTCTTACAAACAGGGATTTTTTTATTCTAAAAATAAATAATTAACAAGAATTTTCCTGGGGTTTTTATTATCTGTCACATGTAAAATAATTATATCGAGTCGTACATTTTTACGAATTTATTTTGTTTTAATTGCTGCCAAGGGATCTTCCTTTTGAACTCCCCGTCCGGTTCTTTTTTTTTTAGCTTTGAAATAGTCGCTTTGGGTTTTTATTATATTTTTTTATTATATTTTAAATACAAAACATTTCTTCAGGATTTTCTTTGCTTTCACTTTTGTTTTGCATTCATTCAAATTCAGATTTCACAGTCAGCAACGGTGAAGCCGGCACAGAACATAACACAGTGCGGAAGTTTGTTGTGTTCACATAATGCAAAATGTAGAGATGATGGTCGTGGGTGCCAATGTCACACCGGATATTCTGTAAGTTTGTTTTATATTACCTTTCCATATTGATCTTAGTTCAAATTTGTTACAAGTTCTAACAAATCATATTTCCGATTTTAAGTCAGCATTCTGGAACTAACCAGTACAATACCAGATATAAGGAAGCATGACTGTGACCTAAGTAATGCTCGAACGAACGGTCCTTCCGATCAAACTACAATGTATATAACATTTAAATCTCACGATTTAACTTGGCGGAACTTTTTTTCAAAATATAAACTTATGTTTATTTTTAAATACTATGATTATTAAAGTTCACATTTCTAATTTATGTTTTAAATCAATAAATATACGAGCGATGATCCAGAATTAAGCAGAATATCTTTATAAATTTGGTGATTTTCATATTATTTTCATTTAATTCATACGTTCGGAAATTTTCAATGTTTCGTGTATTGAGTCATATTTTTGTTAAAATCATATTATCCATTGCCGTTTCATGTCGCCACATAACGCCACATCGGCACGGCTAACAAAATGTACGTTGAAATATTGTAAAATGTACCAACAATGGATCTTGTCAAAAATTCGCCGCGACCATCAAATAACATTCTATTAATTGCGATTATAATTTTACATGTACAATAAATTAAATGGAAATCTTAATTTTGATAAACAAAACAATGAAACCTGGGAATATACCTCGGAATTGTGAACTCCATATGTTAATACATATGTTAATAAAAAAGTCTGAAATTTAAAAGAAAGTGAGCCATGATGGATATTTATTTATCAAACGGAAATAAAACTTGTACATTATGACTGATATATAACTGATCTGTATATCAGAATTATGAACTGGAAACGCTATAAATCAATTCTAAGTAAAGTAAATGCTTTAAAAATAATTATATTTAATGCTATATATCATTACTAGGGAAAGACCTGTCACGATGATTTCGACGAATGTCACGTTGGGAATCCCTGCATGCACCGTGGACATTGCCATAACAACATTGGCAGCTATAGGTATAGACATTAAAATTTGTTACAGGGACTCAACTGAGGTTTTTGACATAACGGGGTTGGAAATAATGTTTTTGAGATTAATGCCCTATTTGATGTAAGTCTAGACCAAAAACCTTGTGTTCGAAAATTTCAGATCATTCGATCACTCCGTTTTTCCAGGACCATTTTTTTTTTAATTATGAAAAATAACTCAAAATTGAAAAGCGTTGCATATATATATATGAGGCGCGACGCGAGAAAACCGGTCTTAATGACATTTTTTTCGAAATTTGGTTTTTCACTTATTATTGTAGAGAATTTCTTTCTGAATATGACGGTGAAAACTGTTTTAAAATCAAAGAGTTAGTTATTGAGATATACTTATTTAAAGAACGTCATATATTTGATCACTTTGTAAATAAATGACGTCGAAAAATTAAATTGACGTTTAACGTTGTTAATTGCAATATTTAAAACGGCAATTATATTTGAATCTTAACTTCACTCCATTAGTATGTTTAAGCTGTAAATAAGTTAGTAATGAAGTTATGTAAACTATAGACTTCCCGCTTATTGCGATTTTTAGCGTTGCTTAGCAACGTTATAACAACACCCATAAGCGAGTCATACATGGCGCAAATAATTGTTGTTTTTTTTTTCAACCATTACCACACTATATACCTTTAATTATAACATCTTTACGGGAAATTTTCAGACTATATTCTGCTTAAAAAAGAAATAATGCATGCAGACCACGGTCAGAAGGCACAGGTGTGTTGGTGGGTTTTAGTATGCACGGGTCGCATATATTGAAATCAGACAATTTTTTAGGTATATACCCAAAGTAATAAATCAACAACAGTATATAAGTCTACGTTTAACGTTTTATACTTATAAAAAACATAGACAGTTAAATAATAAGTTCTATTTTTCTTTATAACAGAAACAATGGCCGTGCTTTAACAACAATTGATATTTAAATAGAAACATTGAACTTTTCTGCCTCGTAAATATATTTGAAGTTATTCATTTCGTGTTGTTAACATCCATCAAACAGCCGGACTATTTAAATCTGCACTAAGCTGTTGTAACAGTGCACTGATATGATTAACTGTCTTGACTGACGAACGCACGCACACTTCGCGACACTGCTGACATTCCTACTGGCGTAATAACGCTTGGACGGACACATGAACTGAACCGGAATCCGTGTTCTTTTCAAGACTTGAATCTAATATTCCTCGCCTTCAGGTGTTACTTTGGCCATAACCACGCCCGGTGTGTTCGACTGGAACCGGAAGTGCAGGAATTTTCTATCTATAGAAAAATGATAAATGTCCGTAATGAAAAATGCAGCAAACTTATTTCCTAATATGCTTTAATAAATAAATAAAAAAAAACATTATTCAGAGCACATTTACAACTCGTTGAGTTAAAAGAACGGAAGAGCTTGGACAGTTTTACAGCATGACAGTAAACTTGGTCACATGACTGATTTTCATAAAATGTAAATGTAAAATAAGACCATCCGTACATATAAACTTAATTAAACCAGAAACAAATGTTACAGAATTTATCTCGCATTAAAGTGTATTAGCTGGATATATGTTGCGAATTCCGTCTGCATAATATTTTGTTCCTGATCACGAAGAATATACATGTGGAGACATTCTATGTAACAACAATTTCTATTAATATGTAATTACATAACTATTTCCTTATGTTTTTTGTTTTTTTGCTTTTTTTAAATTTTACAAAGTATTTTAACAGATAACTCTTTAAGGACCATTTATACAGTATCTACATTTTCTTCAAAATATAAAGTTAATCAAAGAAGAAAATAAAGCTACTTGTAAACGATTAAAGAAACAATTAACCCTTAAATTTTCATGTTTAAGATATTTTCTTAGTCTGGAGTTCTGAGTTTCAACATTTACATTTAAATGAGATAAACATAGGTTACCTTATACCAATAATTGGTTCGAAAATCCCTCAAGAACAGGTTTCCATTGCCGCCATGACCGCTTGGGGTAACATACCGGCTGTTTGTTGTAGATGACTTCTCTGTTACATCGGCCAGCTGTTGAAGTGTTTCTAAATCATGCCTTTAGATGTGCGAATCCCGCATCAACTAAACACCGCGCATGCATGTCTTTAAAAGAAAATTTAAATTATTTTGTAATTATATTGAAAAGCATTAATTACCTGCTGCGATTTGAGGTGCTTTTTAACAATACTACAGTGTTCATATTTTGTCTTTGGGAAAACAGATAAGAGTGTCAAAATCAGTTCAGATTGCCGAGTAACTAGAAGTAAGTAAAATCTTAGTAATGAAGATTTCTTGAATCAGTACCTAGTACTTGCATATGGTACTCAATCTTTTCATTCTGTCCTGTCTTATCGTCTAACATAAAAAAATAACCAACGTAACCAGTGTAACGGTTTTTATTTTGTCCTAAAATATAACGTGTACAGACTTGGTAAAATGATAGTAAAATCCCTAAAATGTAAAAGCACTGGTATTTATTTGCTTCCAAACCAAACATACTGGTGCAGCAGTACTGGTATTTTTACTGATACTATATGAGTTGACAAGTAGTGGTTGTAATATTTTAGTAGTATATCCCTAGTACTGATGTATATCTGATTGTGTAAGATGGTAGTTTTGAGTATATATTAAACCTCTTGTCCCTTATATCATTGTAAATATTTTGCTACAAACTGAAAAAATACCAGGATAAACGTAAGTTGTACAAACTTTTCCTCCGAGTCACGTGTGGCTACGCTTTATGCACTCATTATATAATATTGTCCGAAAAGAAATCAGTGGCTCACATGCATTCTTTTAAATTCTTTAGTACAAATCTTATTTGATCTTATCAAAATACGCTTGGAAAAAAATCAAGCATGGCAGATATTTGTTTAAATTATTTATAAGTGTATTGTTACATTTAATGTTCATTTCCTATTATTACCTTTTGTGCGAGAAGTACGTGGTCCCGCAGTGCCGTCGTTGCAAGTGTCACATTTTTCCACTTCTGAATAATCATAGTCAGTATCTCTCGAAATATCTGTTTTGTGACTTGATAAGTGTTCTCCCAAAAATAATCCGAGTAGAGGGATTTCAGATCCTATGCATGACAAAAAATAAATAAAAAACAGATATAAAAAAATTGGTATCAGACAGGATACGAACTCGATTTGTTTGATTGTGAGGCCACAACATAATCCACTGAGCTATACTCTCAGCAATATTTTAGCGTGCTAATTAATCAATAAAAGACAATATTAAATCTAAAAAACTTTTTTATTCCATGATGACGTAACATATTTTGGACATATATTATTTTATTGCTTACATGTTCTAAATGAATTATAGAAACATATTGTAAATGAATTATGAAAAAGAGTATTAATTTAACTTGCGACTGATTAGATTATTCTTAAATTAACCTAAATTTAGATCTGCCTATAAAATATGAGATCGATTGGTAAACCCCTACAGTACAATAGACTTTGATTTAATTGAGATCAAAACAACGTAAATTTATTCTATATAAAGGCACCGATGTATGTTGGCGATTAATTTATTCTTCTGTATTTCAAAGCATACTTAAAGTACAGTACTGTAGTGTAGATTTTATACAGTACTGTAAACGTCAGTGTTAAATTACCAACAGTAAATATTTATCAATTCGATGCTCTTATAAATAAACATGCATGATATATTTTTGTTGTTGTTTTTCATAAATTATACATTGTAGACACTTACTTCTAACTCCTTCTCCATCATATAAACTTTCCTCTGAATTCTAACGAAAGTACACTTAAAAAACAATAACACACGATAAAAAGCATTTCCGTGTTTACATGTGTATACGCAATAAGAGTGACGTCATTTAAATCGCTGTAGTGCACATTCATTGTAGTGTCATTAAGACCGGTTTTCTCGCGTCGTGCGTCATATATATATATATATATATATATATATATATATATATATATATATATATATATATATATATATATATATATATATATATAATATATATATATATATATATATATATATATATATATATATATATATATATATATATATATATATATATATATATATATATATATCTTTGCACATTACTTCTACGCAATTCAATATGTGTGATTTCCACATTTCTTTGTTACTAAATACATTCACAATGAATTATAGACAGTTTATGAAATGAACGCTGGACAAATCAATTCAAGAAATTCAACAAGTAAAAGATTAATAGTTTGAGAGTTACACAAATATACAACAGGGGTGTGGGTCAACTCCCTTGAAAACTAATATTCGGCCATTTCATTCTTTATAACAAGAAAATACGGAACTTATGCGTACATTGTATTTGAGTTGTTAAATATTTCAAATACAACTATACCAATGAATTACCTTGTTTTGTTTATGCAGTTGTTTAAAGTTACCAGTGCATTGAGTCTGTAAAGGTAAGGTAATGGCAATTTCACCAGTGGCAGAAGACAACAAAAACTCTTCCGCACATTATTTATTATCATCAATAAACTTAACCACGAAACCAAGTAGTCCCCTCCTCCGTTACCCCAAAACACCTCCGCCACTATTGTTTGGTGGTTATTTTTGTTAAAGTTATCAGACTTGAATGATGATATATTCAGATGAGATGTGAATGTTGATAAATTCAGATGTTAATACATGTATTCAGGTGTGAATGTTGATATATTCAGATGTGAATGTTGATATATTCAAGTGTTAATGTTGATATATTCATGTGTGAATGTTGATATATTCAGGTGTAAATGTTGATATATTCAGGTGTGAATGTTGAAATATTCAAGTGTTAATGTTGATATATTCATGTGTAAATGTTGATATATTCATGTGTGAATGTTGATATATTCACGTGTGAATGTTGATATATTCAGGTGTGAATGTTGATATCTTCAGGTGTGAATGTTTGGACGGTTGGACCGGTGACGTTCACTGTGAAATAAAAGATCCAGGTATAACTGACCGGAAATGCATGCCGGGATGGATTGGCGAATGGTGTCAGGATCAATGCTTTAACGAGTAAATATCAACATCGTTTTCAATTTTTTTGTTTAGAATTGAAATTGTGTGGATAAATTATAATTGTCATAATCAAAATTCCACGTCATGAATTAAGGAACTCTCTTAAAAATTGTAAATGTAACAAAAGTATTAATAAAACTTTTATTGTTAAAAGGAAATGATAATTGCAAAATCAATTACATTATTGTTAGAACTCTTAATTCATAAAACTTCATTTTTTTTTTTGCTTTTCAAAGCTCAATGTGCCGACCAACTCAAATATGCAAAAAGCGCGGGAGAGGACTACATTGTCTTTGCCGTCCTGGATGGCTTGATCGCAACTGCACTATAGACAAAGACGAATGCACGAACAATCCATGCCCAGTCACTGCCACATGTAAAAACACACCTGGTTCTTACGAATGTCCCTGTAAATTTGGATGGAAGGGAGATAACTGCGACACGGACATTGACGAGTGTCTAGATAATCCGTGTCAACATTCATCAATATGCTCCAATGAGCAAGGCGGTTACAAATGTGTATGCTCCAGTGGATGGAAGGGCGATGACTGCAAAGAAGATATTGATGAATGTAGTTCCGATCCATGTAAAAACAAAGCAAATTGTATCAATGCGCCAGGTTCATATGAATGTAAATGTGAATCGGGTTGGAAAGGTACCGATTGTTCCGTCGACATAAATGAATGCTTGGTAAACCCCTGTAAGCATTCTGGATCTTGCATAAACACCGACGGTTCATACCAATGCACATGTACTCAAGGTTGGGAAGGGACAAACTGTTCAACTGATATTGATGAATGTCAAAACGCACCATGTTTACATTCGGGAACATGCGTAAACACAGACGGTTCATACCAATGCACATGTACTCAAGGTTGGGATGGGACAAACTGTTCAATTGATATTGATGAATGTCTAACCGCACCATGTTTACATTCGGGAACATGCGTAAACACTGACGGTTCATACCAATGCACATGTACTCAAGTTTGGGAAGGGACAAACTGTTCAATTGATATTGATGAATGTCAAAAACACACCATGTTTACATTCGGGAACTTGCATAAACACTGACGGCTCATACCAATGCACATGTACTCAAGGTTGGGAAGGCACAAACTGTTCAATTGATATTGATGAATGTCAAAACACACCATGTTTACATTCGGGAACATGCGTAAACACCGACGGTTCATACCAATGCACATGTGCTCAAGGTTGGGAAGGCACAAACTGTTCAACTGATATTGATGAATGTCAAAACACACCATGTTTACACTCGCAATCTTGCGTAAACACAGACGGTTCATACCAATGCACATGTACTCAAGGTTGGGAAGGGACAAACTGTTCAATTGATATTGATGAATGTCAAAACACACCATGTTTACATTCGGGAACATGCGTAAACACTGACGGTTCATACCAATGCATATGTACTCAAGTTTGGGAAGGGACAAACTGTTCAACTGATATTGATGAATGTCAAAACACACCATGTTTACATTCGGGAAAATGCGTAAACACCGACGGATCATACCAATGCACATGTACTCAAGGTTGGGAAGGCACAAAATGTTCAACTGATATTGATGAATGTCAAAACACACCATGTTTATATTCGGGAACTTGCATAAACACTGACGGATCATACCAATGCACATGTACTCAAGGTTGGGAAGGGACAAACTGTTCAACTGATATTGATGAATGTCAAAACACCCCATGTTTACATTCGGGATCTTGCGTAAACACGGACGGTTCATACCAATGCACATGTACTCAAGGTTGGGAAGGGACAAACTGTTCAAAAGATATTGATGAATGTCAAAACACACCATGTTTACATTCGGGAACATGCGTAAACACTGACGGATCATACCAATGCACATGTACTCAAGGTTGGGAAGGCACAAACTGTTTCAACTGATATTGATGAATGTCAAAACACACCATGTTTACATTCGGGATCTTGCGTAAACACTGACGGATCATACCAATGCACATGTACTCAAGGTTGGGAAGGGACAAACTGTTCAACTGATATTGATGAATGTCAAAAACACACCATGTTTACATTCGGGAACATGCGTAAACACCGACGGTTCATACCAATGCACATGTACTCAAGGTTGGGAAGGGACAATCTGTTCAACTGATATTGATGAATGTCTAACCGCACCATGTTTACATTCGGGAACATGCGTAAACACTGACGGTTCATACCAATGCACATGTACTCAAGTTTGGGAAGGGACAAACTGTTCAATTGATATTGATGAATGTCAAAAAACACACCATGTTTACATTCGGGAACTTGCATAAACACTGACGGCTCATACCAATGCACATGTACTCAAGGTTGGGAAGGGACAAACTGTTCAATTGATATTGATGAATGTCAAAATACACCATGTTTACATTCGGGAACTTGCATAAACACTGACGGCTCATACCAATGCACATGTACTCAAGGTTGGGAAGGCACAAACTGTTCAAATGATATTGATGAATGCTCAAAACACACCATGTTTACATTCGGGAACATGCGTAAACACCGACGGTTCATACCAATGCACATGTACTCAAGGTTTGGAGGGGACAAACTGTTCAACTGATATTGATGAATGTCAAAACACACCATGTTTACACTCGCGATCTTGCGTAAACACTGACGGATCATACCAATGCACATGTACTCAAGGTTGGGAAGGCACAATCTGTTCAACTGATATTGATGAATGTCAAAACACACCATGTTTACATTCGGGATCTTGCGTAAACACTGACGGTTCATACCAATGCACATGTACTCAAGGTTGGGAAGGGACAAACTGTTCAACTGATATTAATGAATGTCAAAACACACCATGTTTACATTCGGGAACATGCGTAAACACTGACGGATCATACCAATGCACATGTACTCAAGGTTGGGAAGGGACAAACTGTTCAACTGATATTGATGAATGTCAAAACACACCATGTTTACATTTGGGAACATGCATAAACACGGACGGCTCATACCAATGCACATGTACTCAAGGTTGGGAAGGGACAAACTGTTCAAATGATATTAATGAATGTCAAAACACACCATGTTTACATAATGGAACTTGCATTAACAATGCAGGTTCATACAAATGTAATTGTGGTCAGGGTTGGAACGGATTGAATTGTATGAATGATGTAGACGAATGTAGAATTAATCCTTGCATGCATTCTGGAACATGTACAAACAGAAAGGGGGCATATTTATGTTCCTGTACACCAGGTTGGGAAGACACCAACTGTGAAACTGATATTAATGAATGTCTCAATAATCCATGTTTGAATTATGGATCCTGTAACAATACAGCCGGTTCATATACGTGCTCATGTCTAACTGGCTGGGAAGGCATAACTTGTGGGAGCGATACCAACGAATGTCAGAACAATCCGTGTTCAAATGCCGGTAACTGTACCAATAACGCAGGTTCATATTCTTGCACCTGTCCACCAGGTTGGGAAGGTGCCATCTGTGAAAATGACATTAACGAATGTCTTAATAACCCTTGTTTGAATTCAGGTACATGTAAAAATAAAGTAGGTTCATATACATGTTCATGTGCGTTAGGTTGGGAAGGTGCGACCTGCGGTAAAGATATCAATGAATGCATAAATAATCCATGCTTGAATTCTGGCTCATGCACAAATAACGCAGGTTCATATACGTGTACTTGTGCTTCAGGTTGGGAAGGTGAAAACTGCAGAAACGATGTCAATGAATGTCAACAGAATCCATGCTTAAATTCCGGTACCTGTATCAACAACGCAGGTTCATTTACATGCGCTTGTCCAACAGGCTGGTACGGTGCTTTCTGTGAAAATGACACAAACGAATGT